GTAAATCAACCCCATAGATTTATGTTTTATTGAAAATAGTACAAAATTACAAAAATAATTTTCCTGTAATTATTCCCAAGGCAGAGTGTATTTACTTTTTGTACTCCCATTTATGTACCTCAAAATATAATCAACAAAGTCTGCTGATTAAAATATCACATTTGTGTGGCTTTTATGTAAAATAGTGTAAAGGTAAAGTCAAAGTATATATATATATATACACACACACACATACATACATACATACATACATACATACACACTATATACTGTGTATATATATATATAAAAAAAATATATATACAATATAACCAATTATATATTTATATTTATTTTACTAATATTTTTTTCACCACAAACATTTTTTTTTATTGTTATCAAACAAACTTACAGGTAATATGCAACGTTACAGTATAAATCATTGCTGATGCAGCAGCTAGTCTAAATTTTATAAGAATACTACAAGTAGACTGACATAAAGCAAGTAGACTTGGTGATTCCAAAAATGTTAGATTTGGATCACAGAAGCAACATCTATTAGAACTCTTTATGTAGTACTGTCTGTACTGAGGACCATAAATTGGTCCTGGAGCAAATCACGTATTAAATGACGGGTGATAAAACCTACTAGGTAAACAGAGACTATTAGGGGGACAGCAGGGTAATAGAGTGGGAAGGTTATCCCTCTAAGGGGGATTATGGTATGAGAGGATATAGTGTAGGGTGTACAATAGCTCGTGTAGATCGGGTGAGTTTTGCTCTGGTTGTTTTATAAGAGTTTATCAAGTTGTTAACTGGGTTGGGTCAAAGTGTCGTGGTCCGGTGTAGGCGATCCAGGGCCCAGCAATCCAAGATTGCTGTTAGCTGTTCATTAATCATCGCATTAGTGATGCAATTTTTAACTTCCAGGTAGCTGAGCACAGGGGATTTCCAGGAACTGGCTATAGTTTGTTTAGTGGCCATGAAGATGTGGGAAATTAAACGCTGCTGATATTTACATATGCCTGTTATAGGTTTATGTAGAAGCGCCTCCCATGGGTTTTTACCTAAATTACATCCTAAAACAGTTTTGATTAAGGCATAAACTCAGATCCATAGGTTTTTAACCTTAGTACAGTCCTACCAAATGTGCGACATGGTGCTTAATTTCCCACAACCACGGACGCATAGTGGAGAATAGGATGGGATGGTCTTATGGATGCATGCTGGAGTGTATTACCATCGAAGTAGGACTTTGTATGAGTTTTCCTGTGTTAGAACATTACGGCAACAAGAATAGACTTTACTCCAAATTGCCAACCAGTCTGTTTCTAAAAATGGTGAACCCAATTCTTCTCACTTGGCTTGATATGCCAGAAGAGAGGCATGCAGATATTGAGGATTGTAGTAGGGTAATCAGACCAGGAGAATGAGGATCTTGACGACATTGGTGTTCAAATGGGGTAATAGAGTAAAGTGGGGTAGTTGATTGACACAATGATTGTATATAGTTGCATAGTTGGAGATACCAAAATAAATCAGTTTGTGGAATGTGGGATGATATTTCAAGTTGTGTAAAGGAATTAATCCCATGGGGCGTAAGCATAGAGTGTATAGCTGGAAAGCCAGAAGCTGTCCACCAGGAGAAAGTATTAGGTCTAACCATGCCTGGGTAGAATAGTGGGCAATGGATAGTGATAGAAGAAATAGATGTGGTGAAATCAGCTGACAGGTACATTTCACGGAGTCCCATATCCGTAGAATGTGTCGCATAATCGGTCCTAAATGAGGAGGGTGAAGCGAAGGCGGGAGCCAAGGTAAGTTTGACACTAGAATTGGGTGGATGTCCAATACATCTAGGGAGACCCAAAGAGGTGTGTCAGATTTAGAGGATAGAAGAGCAAGGGGGGAGAATTGGACGGTTGACTAGCGGTCGAACTCCACCCCATATAATGCGTAGTGCTTCTTGTTGTAAGATACGCAGGACATGGGCTGGTACAGAGATTGGTAAAACCCTAAACATGTACAAGAGCTTGGGTAGAAAGGACATTTTAATGGCATGGATGCGTCCTAGCCAAGATATTCGGAAGTCTTTCCAGGAGATAAGAAGGTGTTTGAGTTGGCGTACTAATCATGGATAATTTGCTTGGTAGAGCTCAGAATACGAAGGGGTCAGTGTTATACCCAAGTACAAAAGGGTGGAAGTCCATAAGAAAGAATATTGTTGTTGTACTTGCGATTTTCGCAAGTACAACAACAATTTTTGCTTATTACAGCTTATCATAACTAAACAGTCAAAAATAAATCTATATGTATACCCAGCTTCTTTACATTTTACAATGTTTGTTCCCCTTACTATCTCCACAGCCTTATACTGTTTACCATTCACCACTATCACAGATTTCCCGTTAAAGCCATTTAAGCATGTGATAATTGATATCTACCACATTTACTTTAGAAACTATAGAATTATTTCAGAGGACAGCTCATCTTAAATGTGTACAGATCATGTAATTTTCACTGAAACTAATAGGAAGAACTTCACAAAGCATTCAGATAGAGCAAGTACACAGTAAATATGTAGCACATATCTGGAGACACATGTAAAGAAACTACTCTAAGATGAACTTTATGCACACACTAAGGGGTCTATTCACGAAGCTGCCGAAGGATCTGGCCGGAGCTTCGGCTGATCCTTCAGCTAGCTTCGGCCCCAGGACCCCTTCGGTTCAGTAGGACCGAAGGGGTGCTGTACGGGCTATTCACAATAGCCCTTACAGTTCCCGAACATGGCCGAGCGGCTCGGTCGAGCCGAACGCATATACATCGGCTCGGCTGAGCCGTGCTGAAAGCCGAAGCTGGCCGACAGCCTGCTTCTGACAGCTGGGCGGAGCCAGCCGGGATCTTACGACTGGCTCCGGCCACTTGCCACTTGAGAGATCAGCGTCCCTGGTTACCTGCTAACCAGGGACACTGATCTCCAAACAGCTAACTCTCCCTAGCGCCCCGGGAGTCTCCTGCTCCCGGCCGCCAAGGAGAGAAACACTGCTGTGTCTTTTTTTTCTTTATTCTGACACGAGAGATGTCAGAATATAAAAAAATTAAAAAAATTCCCATTGAAAAGCATTGGTACATTGGTACGAAGCAAGCCGATGTACGGCTGATTTCAGCCGATGTACGGCTGAAATCAGCTGTACCAGCCTGAAGTGAATAGCCGAACAGTGTTCGGCTCACTTCACTTCAGGTCGGTCATTCACTCGGCAGCTTAGTGAATAGACCCTTAAGACTGCTTTGCCGATTTTTTCCTTTGATTACATAATTCATGCCCATGACAAATAAATTGAACACACAACACACAATGGAAACATTAACACAAGCATTTGTACAGCTAAAATGGAGTCCCCCAGTATGGAAATTTGCACTTAAAGTGGAACTTTAGCTGTTAAACACAAATTTGCAATCATGAAACTTTTTAATTGCAGATAAGACATGCTATGGGTGACACTTATCAAGCAAATTAGCAACACATTTAGATACAAATCAGGTTGCCTGTTACAAAAGGTGAGGAAATTAGCTGACGTCACTGGAATAAAGCAAAGGTTAAGTTTCACTTTTACACCATTAGAGTAAGTTTTAATAATCTACAGCATTAATTGCCAGTATGCAAGTAGTTTCACATGCTCATTTTTTTCTTCCTTGGCAGATTTTTGTTCTTGCTCCTACATTCCATAAAGTGTTAAAAAATTAATAATCTAGGATAATCAGGCCTGGTTTACCATTAGGTATATTAGGTCTGGGCCTGAAGAAGACAATATAGCCACAGAATGTCTCCAATCCTATATAAACCAGTTTACACTCTTTAACAACATTTCAATCTAGGTTAAGATAAAATAGCATTTCTAAGAACATGTTTTGATGTTACCTCTGAAAACCGTTGAATGTCTTGCGTTAATGTTCCCACCCTTTGCCATTTGAAATGTTTAAGGAACTTCACTATTGCTGGATTGACTGCATTGTCTGAAGGAACGGTCCGGAAAAAGTAGGGATATTTTTTCTTGTCTGCCAACACTGGAGTTGTGGCTGCAAATGATAACTGAAAGAAAACAATCAAATGGAAATATTACTATTTAACATAATAGTATATATATGAAACATTAAAGTTAAGCTCCAGGCGCATATAAAAGACACAAATGAAGGCAACTCTGTATACATTAATACATCATTAAATGCTTCTTTTTTTTTAGTGTAAGCAGTGTTAGTACCTGAATTTTTACCTATCTGTCTCTGGCATGAAAATTCCAGCTAAAGATAGAGAGAAATATATGTCCTTTAGGCAGCTTAAACAGCTCTTACATGTATTTTTGTTTCCGTATATTTAGCCATGAATACAGCTTAAATGGTAGAAGTATTTTTTTGTAGTCTTGTAGTTCAGGAAGAGCAACAACAACTGAGGAGCAATTCTGCCACTAATGACACCTTACCTATGTCAAAATGGATTAAATTCCAATAACATCCTGTAGAGACACTAGCTAATTGGTTAGAACTGCCTCCTCCAAAAAGAAAATAATTCTCCCTTCTACCACTTCATTGTAAATACTTAATCTCTCTTTTCATCTGTTAAAAATTGCCACTGATTAGAGATTCACTAATATGACAAAGCCTAAGGATTAAAGGGAACATGTAGTGGTTTTGTGTAAAATGTTTCCCCTGAGAGGATGCACCTATGGCCAACTAGGGTCCTCTAATTAAGCTGGGTGAAGGAAGATTGGCAGGGCTTAGTTCCATAACCAGGAAGGTTATGCTTTAAGTAACAACATAAAACAGTTTAAGGGCATAATAGCATTTCTGGCTAATAAACTGTACGAAAATAAAAAGTTTCCCTTGTAGTGGAGCTACCCCTGAACTGCAAGGGTTAACTGCTTGTTTATGCATGGAAGGTGCCCTTGCCTTATTGTCACATTTGTCTTTCCCTCTCTAATCACTGAGCCGCTGCATACCATCATGTTGCCCCCTCCTTGCCACGGGTCTATGGTGCTTTTTACTTACAGTATGTTTTCCAATTTGAATAATAATGGGCATCATTCACCCTGGAAAACTGAGGAAATCTAGTGGCAGGGAAGAAGTACAGTGGGAGACAGGTACTGCTGTGAAAGGGTACAGAATACTGCTGGGGGAGGTATTTTAACCACTTGCTGACCGGGGTGTTTATACCCCCTTCCTGACCAAGCCATTTTTCAGTGTTCAGCGCTGCAGTACTTTGACTGACATTTATTCCGTCATGCAACGCTGTACTGAAATGAATTTTATACAATTTTTGGGGGACAGATAGAGCTTTCTATAGAGTGGTATTTAATCACCACTACAGGTTTGTTTTTTTACTGTATAATAAAAAAAAGTACTGACAATTTTGAAAAAAAACCTGTTCTCCCTACGTTATATTATAAAACATTTATTATTACCCAATGTTTTGGTAAAATATAAAAGACGGGGTCACGTCGGGTAAATAGACACCAAACATGTCAAGCTTTAAAATTGCGCGCACCCGTTAAAACGCAAAAAACTACCATACTCAAAATTGACCATAGCCGACGCTTTAAAAGCTTTTACTGCTCATCAGTTTAGTGTGATCAGTGACCCTAGAATTATTGCTCTCATTCCGACGTTCGCGGCGATATATGTAACATGTGCGGCGCAATGGATGTAATCGCCGTTTTCGCACGTAGGCGGGCTTGACGCATGTTTGCGTGTGCGGGCGGGGCACTTTTATTTTTATTTTTTTTATTGCTTTGATATGTGATTTTTAATTTATTCATTTTTTTTGTAGCAAATTTTTTTAAACCTTTTTTTTCCACTGACCTTTATTGCTATCACATAGGGAGCAAGCAAGCTCCCTATGTGATAGCCAATTTGCAGTGCCAGGTCATCTTTATGGAGACATCAGGGGTCTTAAGACCCCTAATGTCACCTAGGGACCCCCAGAGAAGCTGATGAAGCAGAGACCTGCTTCACCAGCTTCTCTCCAGTTTCTGTGCCAGAGAGTGACACTGAATGCAGGCAGTGATGTAATACACATCACTGCCTGCATTCAGAAGAGGAGATCAAACGGAGCTCGTGTACTAAGATCCGTTTGATCTCTGGCCGCAGAGCTGCTGTGCTGGTCCCGGGCTCACACCGGGAACAGCGGAGCACGGGATCGCCAGCAGCGGCAGCGACGGAGGGGGGGCCCGCACACCCGACCGGATATTACAAGCGATCGGGCGTCTCTATAGACACCCGAACACTTGTATGTAAACAGCCACCGCTGGCTGTTTACATTCAAAGCCGGTTCCCCGTTTGTGCGCGCCGCAGAGCAGCGGGCACGAGCGGGACGCGATAGGAGACCAAAGACGCCCACACGCCGTCAAGAAGCCGCTGTCCGGCCATTTAATTACAACGGCCGGACAGCAGGTAGTTAAATAAAAGAAATAGACATATGGCCTTATAAGTGCAGAAACATCAGCAAAAGGAAAATAAAATGCAGTAAAATTAACTGGGGCAAAACATGGAGAAATTTGTGTTAAAGACCCATGCTAATATGCATTGGGGGGGAATTTATCAAAACTGGAGAAGATAAAATCTGGAGCAGCTGTGCATGGCAACCAATCATCTTCTCTCTTCAGTTTGTTCAGTTAAGATTTAATTGCCTATAATTGCCAGAAAGAGGGCTAAATGGCTCTATATAGGATTTGCCTGGTCCCACCTGCATTGAGCACAGATGCTTGGATAAGGGAAAAGATGTGTGCTAGATGGTGCACTCTGTTAACCGGATAAAACATACCTAATCTGATAGGTAATACTTGGTACATATATTGGGGGGAATTTATCAAAACTGGAGCCGACAAAATCTAGAGCAGTTTCCCATAGTAATCAATCAGCATCTCTCTTCAGTTTGCTCAGGTAAGATGTGAAAATGAGACAGAGAAGCTGATTGGTTGCCATGCACAGCTGCTCCAGATTTTGTCTGCTCCAATTTTGATAAATTCCCCTCATTGCGTTTAAAACGTCATACTATTAATGCGGTCTTTTAATAAATTAGCCGTAAGATTAGGGTAAATAAAATTCAAATAATTAAATATTAATACCCATAGCATGCTACTTGTTTACTTCCTAAATGGTCAGTCTGTAAAACTGTTAGTTTAATATATTGCAAAAAAGGAAGCTTTTATCCTCTAGAGAGTAACAAAGTATATTAACTCAGTAAACACTTATGAAATTTTTGGAGTCAGTGGGGAAAAAAGCAATACAATTATGAACACCTGGGAGCAATATATTTGTTTGAATATTTAAAGAAATAGCCATTTTCTTTCAATGAAACTCATCTTTTAATTACACATTGCTTTTATTTGATTTTTTTACCCTGAAAATATATATATTAAATATATAAAGTAGTTGCTGCAAACATACTAGATATATTTTCTAATATAAGATCATCAGTCATTCGCTTACAATAGTGAAGGCCTTTATGACTTGATAATATCATAAGAAAGCCATATTAACAGCATAAATCAGTGCTGCAAATTCAACAAGACATTTGAATGACCTATGTAGAGAGCCTTTTCCAAAAATATGAGTCTTTATTTTTTGTGTCCATATTTAGTCACAGAATGTAGAGAAAAATGTTTTGGTTGCAATGTCCGAAAGCTATACAATTTGAAATAAATTATCTTTACATATGCTGTATATCTGACACTGTACAGAAGAGTCTAAAGCTGTGCTTTAACATTTGAAAGTGAATCAGTGTTTTTCTTCAGGCTATTATTGTCACGCTTACAGTATCTGAATATGTCTTTCATATGTGTCAGTTATTGTATAAATAATACTAATATAAATAATAAATAAGTCAAAATAATGGATATCCATTTCTATACTAAATTCTGGTCATATTATTTTTGAATAAACTGTAAAAAAAATGTACCCAATTTATTTTGTCAAACTTTATTTACATATTTATATGGGAATTCACATATACATGGGAATGAAAGTGGACCTGAACTAAAAATATGAAGATTGGCTATGCCCAAGCTGTACTCTGCAAATCTAGTTTTTGGTCCTAAATTCCTCCTGAAAAAATATCAATGCACTTCATGTGCCTAGTCACTCTTGTGCCTGGAGCTTCATAGTTGTATGTATATGCAGTGTGAGACCTAAGGTATTATGCCTTTGACTTCTAGTCTCACAAAATTTGGAGAGAGATTTGGTAATTAAAGTGACATTAGTAAAAAATGTTTCCCCTCCCCCCAATGTTAATGTGAGCACTTACCTTAAATTATGTTTCTTAATCCTATCTTCTTCTTCTTTCCTGTCGTTTCCATCTGTCCCTCCAGCGCTGCGGTGGGTCTCCGATCCAGTGCTGACTCATCTGAGCTTGCTGGCAGTTCCTGTCCAACGGTGTCTGCATGCGGGTGCACGCGTCCATAGACTTACCTTGTGTCTCTCCTCTCGTCCCGGCCTAAAATGTGAACTGCGCATGCGTCCACCCCAAGGTGCTTTTTGGCCGCCCGAGGATCTTCACATTTTCGGACGGAAGCGTGCAGGGAAGACACAGGTGATTATTAACCTCTGTTTAAGCGGGTTATTTATTTTTTTTACACTTTTTGCATAGATCTACTGCTTGCTAGCAGTAGATCTATGCAAAAAAACAGAGGCTTTAATTATCCTTTAACCTACCGTACACTGTTCGTCTTGCTGGAAAGAAAGCTTTAGAGAAGGATCTCCCTGCTTATGCTCCATCAATTCTGTGGATGTATGCTTTCTGTACATCTTTTGTTATTTCTTGAATACTCCCCAACCAGTCATTAGATCACCATTTATCAAAGGGTAAGCCCTAACATGATGAAGAAAAGCAAAGTATTGCTCCTCTAACCAAGATGACCATCTCCAAACAGGAAGACAGCGTGGAACGAGGCATGGTAAGTTAATAATGGGGAAAAGAGCGGCTGCAGGGAGTCTACAGGCAGTACCGGTGACTAATCTTTTCTCTTATGCTTGTTTTTTTGGGGGGAACAGCTTCCAAAGTTTAGGTCCTCTTAAACTTTAACGCCAGTGTCAATTGTT